TCAGTATCAATGTTTTGTGCTGGAAGTGTGCTCACTCGGTACCCCCAGTACTGTTCCCATGCTGTTCCTGTTTACAATTGGGAACCCATGGGATGGGCTCATAATCACAATCACATTGACAGCCAATTACAGTGATCACAACACCGAGAGCCCATGTAACACCTCCAACATAATGAACTTTTAAAGGTACGGCTCCTGCTAGCTGGAAAGGGTTAATGACAGAGCACCAGAAAATCTGGATAATCATTTCCACGAATAGTTTGGACCAAGTTTTGTCACATGGATGAGATCTGGGTCCATCTTATTCATCTGGAGACAAGGCGGTCAACACATGGCTGGAGTAGCAGGAGGAAAGTTTCCATAGCTAAAGTCATTTTTTAGAATTTTGGACACAGTAGACTATCCTAGGGACTACTGTCCTAGAGACAGAGAGTGAATGGACACCCCGAATTTAACAGTGGAAGGAAAAATCTTCTAGTGGGCACACCTGTTACAGTGACAACAATCTAAGAGGGGATTTCTTCTCCCTTCCTGTTGTGTCACTGGGATAGGAAGTCAGTGGAATTCTCCACAATGGGACACAGAACATAAAAGGAAAAAAAGAAAAAAAACTGACCTGAAAGCTGTTTTAACATTTCCTTACTCTATCTCAAGAAAACAAAAATGGCTTTATAAAATATTTAAAGGCATAATTTACACAGGAACTGTGGCCCGTACAGCATGAATTGGCCATTTGTTTATACGGCTGGAGCTTTGTGCAGGCAGCTTATGTTATTCTTTGAGGACACAGCCGTTTGTCCTAATTTGACAGGTGTGCAAGGGTGGGAAAATGGCTTTGAACACAGACCCGCCCCTGCAAACCTGTCAAATTAGGATGAGTGGCTGTGTCTGTACAGTCGCTGTGTCCTCACAGTAACACAGACTGCCAGATCCAGCTGCAGGTTTGTGTCCTTTTGTGAACACTATATACAAGTATATAAAGTATACAAGTACACCTGTGTGAAAGGACCCCAAGGCCTGATTCACACCAATGAGTATTTAAGTGCTTTTTGCAGTAATGCACTACAACCCATTTATCATGGTTTCCTATGAAACACGTTCACATCTATGCTTTTTTGAGCTGCTGAGTTTTTAGAAAGAGTCAGGGACTTTTTTAAATGCAAAAAGCAGTGTGTTTGCTACAATAGAATTCAATGGAGATGCTGCTGAAACGCATGTACTGCCACTCTGCTGTTTCTATTCTGCCCAGCAATAAAACAGACAACGCACTTGCACTGGGTTGAACCAGGCCCACGGCTGAATTCACACCTTTTGGAAAATGCAAGCAGAAATACAAGTTTATCATCCTAAAGTTGTAATAAAGTCCCCTGTGAGATTTTTACCTACAGGTAATAAATTTACCTACAGCTTATAATAAAGCTTTCCTGTAGGTTAAATGAAAATCTCCTAAACATGCACCGCGTAGGAGATATTCGCTTGGTTGGCAGCCGGTGATGTCACCAGCGCATGCGCTGTGAAGATCCAGTATACCCGTGCCGTTCCGTAATGACGTCATCATAGCCCGTGAACCCGGAAGGAAGACCAGGTGAAGATGGAAGCCTATGCAGCGGTGACAGCGCGCTGCTGGAGGTTTTTGTTTTAAGGTAAGTATTTTATCTGCGATGCATACCAGCACATTAGGCCTTTAATTTAAAAGTTTAATACCACTTTAAAGTGGAGTTCCAGTCAGTTTTGTTTTTATTAAAAGTCAGCAGCTACAAAAACTGTATCTGACTTTTAATAAACACACTCAGGCTAGGTTCACATCTGTGCGGGTGATGCCGCTGTGGATCCGCATGAAAATCTGTGCAGCCGCACCAACCGCACAGAGATATGCGGACCTGCGGGCGGGTGCCATTAGTTCTAATGGCACGCTGCCTGCACTGGAAAACGCAGCCGTACTGGGAACCGAGGTTCCTGTGCCGCCTGCGGTTTCAGAAGAAGTGCAGGGACTTCCTCCCTGCGTGTCACAGGCACGGGAGTCCATTCAAATGAATGGGGTCACAGGCACGGGAGTCCATTCAAATGAATGGGCTCTCATGCCCGCACAGCCGCATATATGTGAACCGGGGCTTACCTGTCCCAGGGTCCAGCGACGTGCTCACCTGCGCCGTCCCTTCTCTCCATGGTCCCGGAATCTCAACTGTGGGCACCAGGCTATGACAGCTTGCGGCTTCACAGCCGGGTGCCCACTGCGCATGCTGATTGGTCCAGCAGTCTTCTAGGACCTGGGAAGGTTCCCCGGAGGCTACAGGAGGGGGCAAAACTTCCGGCTCACTTTGCTGTGGCAAACTGAGCTGGAAGTGGGAGTGGGTACCTGTCACAACCAGGTATCCGCTCCCCCCAAAAATATGGTAGTGGAGGGAGGGGGGTACTGGGGAGGCAAACTTTTGGGTGGAACTTCACTTTCATGCTGCTGATCCCCTCCAGCCTCTTTCGGTCTTCAGCACTGGCTGCACATCATGGCCCTAGAATGGCAATAGATAGTGGCCCATACCTGCGCATTGTATGTCAGGACAGCCTCTGGTCTCCTCCACCAGGGTGCATATGTCAGAGTGACAACACAGCAGAGCAACCGATGTATGGTTGTCACCCTATCACAGGTAGGGCCTTCATGGCATGGTCACCTGGAATTCCTTGAATTAAACTGCATATGTAAGAGCATGTTAGCACTTGTATGGGATTGCCAGCCTACCATGGACTGAGGGGAAACTGTACTATAGAAGGCAGCATTCCTGCATTGCAGAGGCTGTGGAGACCAATACACATTGATTGTACAGTAAGCATTCCCCAGGAGAACTCTACAGCTCGGGGAACTCCTGATACAGGGAGAAAAAGTCACCCAGAACAACACGTGAAAGAATGAGAGGAGAAGGCACCGAGTACTCACCCTGCAGTGCAGGTGCAGTCCGGGCTGGCTTCCCCCAGAGGTCAGGCGGGCACACGGCAGGCTCTATGTCAGGGAAGCTCTTCAGTCGTGCAGCAGCAGCTCTCTCCCTGTTGCACAGCAGTAGTCCCAGCCTGGAGCGTGCATGTGCAGGGCTGCCCTGGATGGATGTCTATGTTATTATTGTGCCGAGGAGGCAGTCAGCTCTGCACCGCACACTCCCTCCTCCTCCTACTCCCTGCACTAGTCCCGCCCACGTGTCGCTTCGATTGGCACCGACCGCGACCAATAGCACAGCGGGAGACGTGAGGGCTGAGGAAGGGGAATTGCTGACGTCACCGTCCGTGTGACACTCCATAGAGACAGCGCTGTGTACGGTGTGTCCTAGAAGATGGAGATGATGTGGGCACTGACCCTTACCAACACAACGTATGGAGCCGAAACATGGCTCAGCAGTGTCTAAGCAAAGCTCTCCTCACAGTGTAATAAAGCATTGACACCTATGGAAGTGCTGTGTGTGTGTCATACAAAGTGGAGGGTGAGGTGGCCTCTACAACTAGCCCTAGACCCAGACAAAAGTCAATGAACAGTAAAAATGGTTTATTTGTATTCAAAGCTGAACTCCAGTCAGATATAAAAAGGCGACAATAAGCACAGGCCTGTAAGGCCTACTTCACACTGGCACTGAAAGCAGACGTTTGAGGGGCATTTTTAACGTTCCTCCAACACCTGATGAAATGATACTATGGGCAGCACACAGTACTGTTCACATTATGAAAACACGAAGCCATAGAATCACGTCGCTTCAAAATTGAAGCCTCATGTCAAGTCAGGAGGAGTTTGAAGCTTTTTGATGCTTCCCATTGAAGTCTATGGTGATGCTTCACAAACGCACTAGCAGGCATTTGTGGTGTGGTTGCGGCACGTTAATAACATTTGCGGTGTGGTTGCGGCACGTTAATAACATTTGCGGTGTGGTTGCGGCACGTTAATAACATTTGCGGTGTGGTTGCGGCACGTTAATAACATTTGCGTTGTTGCGGGTTAATAACATTTGTTGTGGTTGCGGCACGTTAATAACATTTGCGGTGTGGTTGCGGCACGTTAATAACATTTGCGGTGTGGTTGCGGCACGTTAATAACATTTGCGGTGTGGTTCTAACGCTTGTAAAATGCTTCAAAACTGCGCATAGGGCATTTGGGGAGCACCTTTAACGCTTGTAAAAAGCCAGTCTAATGCCCATACTAAAGCTCACTAACGCCTGCTTAACGCCCATACTAACACCATACGAGCGTTTGGTAAGAGTTACAAATTTAGTCTGTATAAGTCCTTACTCCTTATAAATAATTCAAGTGGTTGTACACCTCAGACATGAAATAGGAACAAAGCATATCCCTCTATAGTGTGTCTCAATCCAGAGCACTGAGTGTCATTTCTCTTTGCTATCAGCATGAGTCACTTCTGAAAAGTTTTTCTGACACCAAAAGAAACATGGTGACAGGGGAGGGCACAACCTGTGATTGACAGCCTCAGCTCTATTCCTGTGTGCTATGTGAAGAGGGGTGTGTACTTCCTTCCAATCAGCTTTCAGAGCTCCCCTTACTGATGTAACTTCAGCTCCCCGCTCCCTGCTTTTCAGAGCTGAGAGATCCTGTGTAAATTGAATAAATGTATGGGACAGACTGCTACAGATAAACAGGTACAATGTATGCGGAAGGATTTGTTTCATCTCTGTGTATCACCTGCAGATAATCAACATCAGCAGGTATATATAATGTTTTACAACCGGTTCATATCAATGTGATGCAGGAAAACGCTGCAAAGCCTGTGCATTTCCCACACCATACTGCAATCACATCACGTTCATGCGATCTGGTGCAGGTGTCAATGATAAATGAAAGTGTTACTAAACCCCGGACCCTGCATTCACTATATCTGGTCTCCCACAGTACGCACAACATGGAAATGCAATTATTTTAGTAAATATAAACTGCTAAATACCTTTTCTCATCAGCAGTTAGAGCAGTCTTGTGACTTCTATCAGAGGCCAGTGGAGCACTGGTTACAGTTTGTAGGAGGAGTTTTCATTCTGTTGTAGGAGGATACAGAACCCCTGACCTCTTTCTGGACAGCGCTGATTGGCCCTGTGCTGATTGCATGCACTCTCTCAAGAAAAAAAAAAACAACCTCTCTAGCAATACACACCAAACTGAGCATGTGCAGAATGGCTACGGTTCAGTTTGTCTTATCAGGAGATAAGAGGTGGACATTTGTACAAGAGGAGGAACAGAGAAGTCAGGATCCAACAGCCTTTTTACACAATGCAGAGGATTAACCCCATAGGTTCCACAGTGAATATAACAAGCATGCTTTACTGCATACTGATTTTACTGATTTTACTGTTGTGGGTTTAGTAACACTTTAATGATACCCAGGAACAGATCGCAAAACGCGATGCGATTGCCAGAAATTGCATCTCATGGGTGCAGATTAAAAAAGGGTCCTGCACCTTATTGGTGGGGATGCAATGCAAATTGAGCCATACAAATTGTATGGCTCAAATCACACCACGCAGACATTTGCATGTAATTCCTGTGCGAATTACATGCAGTGTCCTGCACCGCATAGTGTGAACCCGGGCTAAAGCGGAACTAATAGGAGGATACTTACCTTCCCAATGCCTCCTCGCCGGAGCCGCCATCTTCTCCTGTGTGCCAGTTTCACCCATCTTCATTGGCCAGTGCAGGATGACATTGTGCAGGAGCTGGTCAACCCGGCACACAGCATCAGCCCGGAAGCTTTAGGCTGAGCTGCGCATGCACAGCTTAGTTTACAGTCCAGGATCACTGTGAGCAGGCAGGTAGGTATGTTTTATCACACAAGGGACATAAAACGCCTGTCTGCTCACAGTGTATCATAGTAGAACTTTAGTTCTGCTTTAAGGGCTCACTCACATCAGGAGCATCGATCTGCATTGATCAGTATCGGTCAACTCAGGTTCAACACAAGGCCACATAGAAAACAATTGTTCACACCATATACTGTATGTGTGTCTGCATTTTTAGAGCTCATTCACACAAGCTTGTTCTTTGAAGAGTGATCCATGTTCAGATCACTCTTCACCGAGTATTTTACAGGAGTGGAGGAGGTGTTGTTTTGCCTTCTCACTGCCTGCTTTAACCGTTTGATCACCACACTACTGTAACAAGCCACAACTGCAAACACTGTGTGCAGCTGTGGGGTGCTTGTAGGGCTGCCCAATTCAATTGAATGTGTCACATTCATGGGCGCTACATCTCCTAAAAGCAAAGGAGGTGTCATTCCTGCTGTGATGTGTATACCCCCCCAGTTGCTGCTTCTGCAGCTAAAGATGTCAGCAGTTGGGAGGTAGTAAAAGTGCACATCAAACACAGGGTTTTACTGCCCCACACAAACACTAGTGTGAACGAGCCCTACGTTAGTGCAAAACATGTCAACACGCTGCAGTATGTCGCAACATTGCGCATTTTGTAACATTTCAATATTGTTAAAAGAAGTAAACACTGCACATTGCACCATCCCCTACACAAGGCACACCAGAGTGACCTGGTATAAGCCTCACTGTACAGAAGGGATGGAGTGTGAGAGTAATAAGCAGTACAAGGAGCCAATCAGTTCATGTGCTCATAAGAGGCATGCTGACAGGAGCAGAAAGCAGGGTGACAGAGATGAGCTCCACCGTGCTCCTTTTCTTGCATGGTCCAATCACAGGCTGTGGTGGGTCCAGGGTTCAGTGGAAGTGGCATGAATGATCTTGGCCATCAGACCGAGGACATCTAATGGAAGAAAAAAATTGCTGCAGAGAAATGATATAGATAAAGGTCCCATCCACACTTGCAAATGAGAATGTTTGTAATTAGATGCAGAAGACACTGCAATGGAAGCCCCATTGAAAGCAAAGAGAAGCTGACAGCTTCTGTAACGATTAGGCTAGGTTCACACTCATGCGGTGCAGTACAACGCATGTGATTCGCACAGGAGACGCACCGCATTCCTGTGCAAATCACATGCGAATTGTGTACAGTGCCATTTGAGACATACATTATGCATGGCTCAAATTGCACCACATCTGCACCAAAAAGGTGCTGGATCCATTTTTGGGTCCACACTAGAATCGGATCGCATGGGTATTCACACCTATGCGATCTGATTCTGCACATCACACCGCTTTTTGCGTACCAATTTCAGGGTGTTGTTAACATACACACCCCGCAGCGGTTCACATGAACGGGGTGCAATTCTGATGTGGTGCGGAATTCCCACAGAAAATGCTTTGAATTCGGCACCGCATCAGTGTGAACCCAGGCTCACCTCTGTAATAACCTGTGAATGAATGGCCTTGGACACAGACTGTCCATGGCCGAGCATACAGTATGCATATATGTAGCAGACTCCCAGCATAGAGACCGAGCTGTCACAGATAGTTCCAGATCTTGTACTAATGATAAGAAGCCCAGGAGAACCAACTCTCAATAACTATGATCGCTGTGAGTGGCTATAACAGTATTCAGCCACTCTACAGCCTGTCCTGTACTGTGTTCTCCTGTTGAATGCTGAAAAAGATACATTGTATACATAGAGGATGCATTATGAAATACATTGTATACACACAGGATATATTATAAAATTACATTGTATATATACAGGATACATTATATAATACATTGTATAAATACAGGATACATTATGTATGTCATTGTATATACAGGGTACATTATATAATAAACATTGTATACATACAGGATACATTATAAAATGCATTCTATATATACAGGGATACATTATATAATGCATTGTATATATACAGTATACATTATATATTAACATTGTATATACAGGATACATTATATAATACATTGTATGTAGAGTCATGAGCGAATAAAAAATTCAAAAATTTGATTCGGCTGATTCGCTGAATTTGCGGAATCAAAAATTTCGATTCGATGCAAATTTATTAAAAAAAAAAATAAATAAATTTAAAAAATTTCTAATATTAAAAATAAAACAATGAAAAAAGCAGAAAAATAATAAAAAAATTAAAAAAAAAAAAATTAAAAAATGGGGAAGAACAAAAAAATACCTGAAACAAATCAGATAAAAAAAAAAAATGAAAAAAATACGATAAAGAATCAAAGCTCAAAAAAAATAAAAAGCTCAAAAAAAACATGAAAGTTAATAAGAAAAAAAAAAAGAGAAAAAAAAAAATAAAAAAGGAAAAAATCTAAAAAAAATAATGAAAAAAAAAAAATAAAAAAAAACCAAAAATGAACAAAAAAATGAAAAAAAAAAAACAAAAAAAAAAAAAAAAAAAAAAATGAAAAAAACTGAAAAAAAAAAAAAAAAAAAAAAAATAAAAAAAAAAAAAAAAAAGAAAAAAAACAAAAAAAAAAAAAAAAAAAAAGTTTAAAAAAAAAAAAAAAAAAAAATGAATAAAAAAAAGAAAAAAAAAGAAAAAAAAATGAAAAGAAAGAAGAAAAAAAAAAAAAAATCTGAAATAAAGAAGAAAAAAAAAAGAAAAGAAAAAAAATGAAGAAAAAAAAAGATAGAAAAAAAATAAAAAAAAGTAAAAGGAAAAAAAAGAAATTATAAAAAAAATAAAAAGAAAAAAAAAAAAAAATAAAAATAAAAAAGAGATAATAAACAAAAAAAAAAGAACCAAGAAAAAAAAAAAAAAAAATAAATAATAGAAGAAGAATGAAAAAAATAAAAAAAAAATAAAAAAAAAAATAATGAAAAAGAAAAAAAGAAAAAAGAAAAAAGAAAATGAAAAAAAAAAGAAAGAATGAAAAGAAAAAAGAAAGAATAAAAAGAAAAAAAAATGAATGAAAAAAAGAAGAAGAGAATGTAAAAAAAATGAAAAGAAGAAGAAAAAAAAAATAGAGATAAAAGAAAAAAAAAGAAGAATGAAAAAGAAAGAAAAAGATGTAATGAAAAGAAAAGAAAAGAATGAAAAAATAAGAAAAATATAAAATAAAAAAAAAAGAAAAAAGAAGAAAATGAAAAAAAGTAGAAAAGAGGAAAAAATAAAGAACATAAAAAAAAATGAAAAAGAAGAAAAAAAAAAGAAAAGTGAAAAAAGTAAGAAAAATGAAAAAAAAAAAAAGAATAAAGAAAAAAGAAAAGATAAGAAGTATAATGAAAAGAAGAATGAAAAGATGATACGAAGAAGAATGAAAAAGCAGAGAATGAAGAATGAAAATGAAGAAGAAAGAAAGAATGAAATAGAAAGTTTGAAAGAGAAGAAGAAAAAAAAAAAGAATAAGAAAAAAAAGAATGGATTGAAAAGTTGAATGAAAAAAGAAAAAGAAAAAATGAAAAGAGAATGAAAAAAAAAAAAATGGAAAAGAAGGAAAAAAGAATGAACAAAAAAGAAAGAAGAATAAAAATGGAAAGATGAAAAAGAAAAGAAAAAGAATGAATAATAAGAAATGAAATAAGGAAGAAGAATGAAATAGGACAGAAGAAGGGAATGAAAAGATAGAAATGAAATAGAGAATGAAAAGAGAAGGAGAAGAAAAAAAGAAGAAGGGAGAAAAAAGAATATAAGAAAAGAAGAAAAATGAAAAAGAAGAAAAAGATGAACGTGAAAAGAAGAATAAGAAGAAGAATGAAAAAAAGAAGATAAGAAGAAGAAGGAATAAGAAGAAGAAGAGAATAGAAAAAAAAAAAAGAAGAATGAACGAAGATCATAGAGATGAAGAAGAAGAATGACTATAAGATAGAAGAATGTAAAAGAAGAATAAAGAATGGAAAAAGAAGAATGAATAGTAGAAGAAGAAGAATGAAAAAAAGAAGTAGAAAAAAAAATGAAAAAAAAAAGATGAAGAATGAAAAAAAAAAGAAAAAAAAATATGAAGAAAAATGAAAAAAAAAAAAAAGAAAAGAAAGAATAAAAAAAAACAGAATGAATAAAAGAAAAATGAAAAAAACAAAAATAAAATGGAAAAGTAAAAAAAAAAAAAAAAAAAAAAGACTAATGAAAAAAGAAAAAAAAAAAAAAAAGAACAAAAAAAAGAAGGAGAAAAATGAAAAAGAAGAAGAAGAGAAAGAAATGAAGAATGAAAAAAAAAAGCAGAAGACATGAAAAGAAGAAGAAGATGAAAGTAAGAAAGATGAGGAAAACAAAAGACAAAAAAAGAAAAAAAAAAGTAAAATGAAAAAAAGAATGAGAAAAAAAAAGAAAAAGAAGAAGAAAAAGAAATGAAATGAAAAAAAAAAAGAAAAAATGAAAAAAAAAATGAAAAAAAGAAAGAAAAAAAATGAAATGAAGAAAAAGCAAAAATGAAAAGAAGTAGGAAGAAGAATGTAAAAAAAAAAAAAAAAAAAAAAAAAGATGAAAATAATAGAAGAAAAAAAAAAAAGAAGAAGGAAAAGATAAAGATAA